TCCAGTCAGAGCTGCGAGGATCGGTGGTGATGTTATCAGGTTGAGGAAGTGCAAGTTGTAGTAACCTGCTCAGCTGCAGGGATACAAAAGGAGAGAGAGAGAGAGAGAAACGCATGTTCATTTTGACAAGTAGAGACAAGTCCAAATCTCAGTGTTACAGTCTCGGGGGAACCGGGTAAGGATGGCAGGTGATGCGCACTGTGTGTGCATATACGTGGGCATGTGTGTGTGCCATTGTCATCGCTTTCAGCAACAATAAACATTCTTTTCTTCTTTGAATGTAGAAATTTGGGGTGTCACTGTGCATGTGTGTGTGTGTGCCCGTGTCTGTGAGTGCGTGGTAACAGATGTCCACCCAGTGGCTGCTGGGACGGCACTTCACATTCGACATGTGTTAAGTGACAGTGATGGACAGCAGGTAGTCCTTTTAATAATTCAATATATTTTAATCTTCTCTCCTCTCTCTCTCACCATATCTGTCTCTCTGTCAGAAGCCAAATAACACTGTTGACAGAGATATGATTACACAAATTGGGCAAATGTGAAAACAACGACACATTGTATTTTTTTCCTTTTTTTTCCTCACATACTTTGATCAATCCCATTCTTTTATTTAATTATCTCGGAGCTTATTATAAACAGAACACAGACACACAAATGCGTACCGGGAGCTGAGCTGTATTTTCAGGCCTCCTCGCATGTATTCTAAACATCACTCCATTTTAGAAAAGACCAACGAAAAGACAAAAAACAGGCAGTGGCAGAGAGAATGAGCCAGATCCAGCCAGCCAGCCAGCCACTCAGTCAGTCAGTCAGCCAGAGACATAGACATTTCCCCAACACCAGGATGCGGGTAAGTGAGCCTCAACTGACCAGAAATGATTTGCCTCTGTCTGTTAGACACGTAATGGAGTCATTTAACTAGTCAAATTAGGAGCCGGCGAGATGCCGCATGCTTCATTACTGGGTTCCAATGGGCACCGCTCTACATTTACGTCAGAAATGATTTCAGGGCAAATTAATGTTTTTATTGTCTTGCGAAACAAAATAAAAAAAACACCCGCATACACAGACACAGACACAGGACGTCTCTTACACATGTATGTCTACATTCTTGTGCACACACAGCTCCGAGATCAAAATGCAATGCCACAAACACACACACACACACACACACACACAGGTTGTTTGCACACACACTGCTCTGTCTGTCATACCAGTGCCTCTGTGCAGACACATCTGAGAACTAAAAGATCAGCACCATCTAGAGGTCAAAACCAAACATTGTCCTTGCCTCACTGAGACATTCAAGCTCCTATTTGTTTCCCCCTTTTTGGAAAAAAGCATTGAGAAATATTTCCTGCAGCATGATTTGTTACACTAAACGATTGTTTCCTTAAAGCCATTTATTGAGAAAAAGGGCATTTGCAGCCCCACAAGTGTGCAGAGCCATGGATTACGAGTTGGGGCTTAACATTTGTCGAACAATTGCACCATTTTTGATGGGAAAGAACTCATTCAGAGTAGGTGGAAAAATGAGCTGGAGAAGAGGAAAAAAAAGAGAAAGGTAGGGGGGTGTTTAAAAGAAATTTCAGCAGCAGAAAGGCCGATAGTTAGCAGCGCTGATGATGTGAGTGACAGCTATTTAGCCTGGCTTGATCCAGCACTCCCTTTCCTGACCTCTAAATCAGAACCAGGTGATGACGGAAATAGGAAATAGAATATATCCACTGGGGAGAGATCAAAGACTGAGTGTGTGTGTGTGCGGGAGATGAAGGGTGGGTTGGCGTGGGGGGGGGCGTACATGTAGATCTGCTTCTTGTCGACAGGGAGGTCTGACAACTGGGATTATTGATGAGAGGCAGAGCCCTGTTAGACTGAGCGGAGCGCAGGCCTCTGGGATTTGGAGTCCTCACGGTGTTTACATGTCCGGGGGTCTCGCAGGCCGACCGGCTCTTATCAGCTGAAGCCGAATGAGACTTCAACTTTTCCTCGGCCTTCCGAACTTCACTCGGATCTCGGTTTCAGTGCATTTGGGGACGTTGCCTTTAATGGTCAGAACAAGTCCAGGTTCACTCGCCGCTCTTTACTGTGGCAGTTTTTTCAGGCCGCCCGCAGCTGCTTGTATTTATGTTATCATAGATTACAGCTGCATTGTTTGAAGTTGACTGACAGCCAGTGATATTTATGCTTATGCGCGAGTGTGTATTTGGATTCCTTTGTTTTTGACGAGACACACACACACACACACACACACAAACACACCAAGATGCACCGGTGTAATCATGCTGCACACATACCCAGCTGTGCAGACACACGCAGACACACACTCCCTGTCAGTTGCTGTTGTTCTTGACATTCTGTCGATATCATTGTGTCCAAAAGCTCGGTTTGTTTGATGCGGGCTCTCAACTGACGCTGGCCGCCGCTCTTTGACGCACTCACACACACACACACACACACACACACACAGACACTTTGTTCTAAGACCTGTGCAACCATCTCTTTGCCTCTCTCGCTCTCGCTCCCCGTCTCGCTTTGTTTCCATCCCTCTTGCTCGCCGTCCTCTTTCAGACTTCATCGCTGTCCCTCTGTGATAACAGGCAGCCCAGCCACAAGGACAGATCGGTTTCATACGCAGCCAGGAAAGCATGTCAACAAGGCAGTGTCAGGCTGAAATGCAAACATAGTACTATATACTAAAGTCAGAGTGGTGCTTATGGAAGTATAACACTATATTTGAGTAGAAAAACTGAATATATTGTTGAATATACTGTAAAAGTCAACCATTAATATGTGTGCATCCCCAAAATTCTTGTCTCTAGTGTAGCTGACTCTAATCACACTACTAAACTACAGACTAACACTGGCCCATAATATTGGCCAGATTAACTATTTTCAATTTAGTTAGTAGTAGTAGTTTAGTGGAAAATCTTTAAAACTTTATTTAAAGATCCCCTCCAGACATGTATTCAGACATACATATGACTAGTCTGCTTGGAACAATAAAAATCCCTAAAAATAAATCTACTCCTTCTTCCTCATTAAAATTCCAGGATCTATGAATATTTTTGAAATTTTGGACAAATGTCTCCTACCAGGACCAGATTTGTCTTCCAAACTATTTGTGATGTCACAAATCATGCTGGTAGGCCCCGCCCCTTAAAATCAGATGTTCAATGAGCACAGAGAAACTTT